CTAGGCAATGCTTGAACACACAAAACATGGTATTGGCACAAAGGTTTGGCATTAAATTTATGAGTGTAATTGAGATAAAAGGCCTGTAATCAAATGGCATGCTGAGTTTTGAAAATGCATAGTGTTATGAACATGTAACTTGGCCTAATCAAAAGTGAGTTTTTGCTATATTGTGAAATTCGATTCTCTCTAACCATGAGGTTGTTTGAGAAGTTCTTGGACATTTTGGAAATCTTGGAATGTGTACTACAATCCATCTTTGAAATGCAAATTGAAATTCCAGGTGGAAGTGTATGGAAAATGGCCTTGAAGTTGGGTAGAAAACCTTGTCAAAATAGGTTAAAATTTCACTAAGTTAAGAATGGTTTAGTGCCCTTATTCAAAATTTTGTAACTTGAGATACAAGCCTCATTTGGGAAAACTTGGTGAATCAAAGTTGTAGATTATGCAACAAGCTACAACTTTCATGTTTTGAATTTTGTTTGAATCCCAATGAATCTTGGTGAGAAAGTGGGGCAAAGTTGGGAAAAAATTAGGGTTTTTCATAACTTAGAAAAATTCTAAGTTATGAAAAAAATCTCATTTCTAACCCTAATTTGCATTTTTTGATTTCTTGGTGAACAAGTTTCATGATTTGGCATGTTTTGATGAAAAATGAATCTTGACTCTTGATTTTGACCAAAAAGTCAAAGTTTGACTTTTCAGTATACAGTCAAAATTGATCAATTGACTGGGAAATTCAACTGTCAATTTTGTGCATTTGGGATCTTTTGAACTTGTTGAGCATGTCAAGATAAATCCATGGGGTCCTTGAGTCCATAAGTGAACTTGGTTTTCCATTGGCTAGGTCAAACAGTCAAAAATTGCCTTTGTGCAGTCAAAACCCTAAAAATGACCATTTTGCCCTTTTGGTGATCTGATCAAATTTCTTGTGGAATTGTGATCCAAACTTGATCAAATGGTTCATAGGAGTTCATAATGTTGATGTGGGTAAATTTTCATGAGGTTTGACTGTCAATTGGCCACAGTTGACTTTTTCCCCAATACAACTGATTTCTAGGTCAACTGTCCAATTGACTGGGCAAAACTTGGAATCAAGACTTGAAACTTGACATGGATAAACTTGGGAGTCCAAAATGAAGCAAGAAGGTCATCTTAGGCATTTTAGGTCAAAACATCTTTGTGCAAGCACAAAACCTAATTTGGGTCAACAGTACAAGGAGAAGTCTTGAGCAGATGAAACCCTAACTAGATCTTGAGCTCCAATGGCTTTGTGATGAGAAATCAATGAGAAATGGGAGGGCAAATTTTGGGGTACAACAGTTGCCCCTGTTCAATCTTCTTGAATCTGAAGAGTTAGATTGGCAAGTTTGCCTTTCGTGACTTGAGAGTAAAAGGAGATTGGACACTAGAGTGCCCGGAAATTTGCACTCGTCAAAACAATGGATGCGGGAATGGGCTTAGAGATGCCATTTGGAGATGGGCTTAACGATGCCATCTGGAGGGATGACAGAAGCTTGTCGGGGATGGGCTTAACGATGCCATCTGGAATGAGTATCAGGGAGATGTCCATGCCTGGGGTCACCTCTGAACTGGGGGTCTGAATAAGCAATAGATTGACGTCCGTTGTTGGGAGGAATCCGTGAGCTGTTTTCAAAGGTTGCATCTGAACAAATGATAGATTAACATCCGTTGTTGGGAAGAATCCATAAACTATTTTCAGAAGTCTGGAGAAGAGCCTGAATAAGCGATAGGTTAACATCCGTTACTTGGAGAACCCGTGAACTGTTTTCAGAAATCTTGAAGTTGAATAAGCAATAGAGCAGCATCCGTTGTTGGGAAGCGTCCGTAAACTGTTTTCAAAAAATTGCATCTGAACAAGTTGATAGATTAACATCCGTTGTTGGGAAGAATCCAAAAACTGTTTTCAGAAGTCTTGAGAAGAAACTGAACAAGCGATAGGTTAACATCCATTACTTGGAGAACCCGTAAACTGTTTTCATAAATCTTGGAGTTGAATAAGCAATAGAGCAGCATCCGTTGTTGGGAAGCGTCCGTAAACTGTTTTCAGAAATCTTGAATTTGAATAGGAACCGGTATAGGGTTGCTTGATGATGAGTCCGTAAGTGTGCCCAATCAGAGTAGTAAGTGTGCCTGCTCCGTCCTTCTTTGACGAAATGGATGCTTTAGTGGAAGGAGGGACTTCACTAAAGATGGTCTGTCTGCGCGCCAGGAAGGGAAGGCTTCCGTGCAGGTAGTTCAAGGCTGAGGTCAAGCTATGAGCGCAAGGAGGTCTAGTAAGTTCCTTCTTCGTATTTTGCTTGTCATTGGGCAGGCGATTCCTTCTTCAATGAGATAATTTATATTTAGCAAGAAGCAAGCCCTCTTCAAGCTGTCGAATATAGAGACGGTGATCTTAGATCAGGGGAATCAAATCCCATTGCTCCAACCAACACATTTATATAAGCTAAACCTAATGTTTTTCCGGATGACAGGACGGGAAAGAAAGGCTAGCAGATCCTTTCTTAGGAGGGAGTCTCTATTTTATTTTCCTAGCTTCCTCAAAAGCATGATGTAGCGACTTACTGTTAATTAATAATGCGAGCTAGCATTTGGGGCTAATGTCTGTAGATGTGATACCTCCCGGTCAGAGACGGAGAATCGATGTTATCGGATATGGTAATAAACGTATGCTTAGTAGGGGGGCTGAACCGGCTTGCTTTTGGTACTAAATTCCTCCTCCACCCGAGCGTTTCTTGCTTTCTTTCTCGACGAAGGAATTGATAGAGGCGAAGAAAAAGAAGTGAAATCTTGACCAGTTCGTATAGAAGTCAAGGGAAGAGTTTTTAAGGAACCAGCTCCTGGGGACTTCTATTAAGAATGACTTTAGGTCTTAGTATGTGGTACATCATATAGAGTCGTGAGACTCTCTACTTCCTCTTGTTCAGTTATCGATTTGCTGGCTGTTTCCGGGGGGAGGGGCTCGCCCAGATGCTTTGCGAGACTGAAAGCTTAATTTTGTGTTCGGTTGCGTTATCTACCGCAAAGAGGGACTCCACCTTTCTATTAGAACAGTGTTAGTTCGCTATTAATGCCGGTCAGGCCGAAGAGAATTCTATTCTGATATTGCTATGTGCGCCACTATAACTTTGATCATATGCTTTGAGCCGAGTCGATGAGTTTGAATATTCATTCGTGTACGTATTCCATGTAGATTGAAAAGGGAGAAGCCCTAACTGGGGGAGTCTAAATAGCAGACCAGATGGATCATTCAATAGAAAGTCGAAGGCGAAGAGTTAACACCTTCAAAGGGCTGGGTGAGCGAAAGCATCCTTTGTTGATACTTAGTGTACACCGCCACCTACTGAAATGGATTAATAAACGTTGCTTTCTGTTGCTTGTAGCGGCGTTGCTTCCTTTTGTTCACCGCTTTAAATCTTGAGAAAGAAGGCCTTGTGGGGAATCTCCAGCAGCGCCAAAGAAGGAAGAAGTAAAGTGGGCGAACGAGAATCAGATAAATCAGAGTGTAGTAACCGCATTTCTTACAGCTGTAACCTTTCCCTATCGGTCGATCATCCGAGCATCCGATTCAATCCTCTCCTTTCAGTGATCTCATACCTCTTCGCTTAGCTCGAGTGATTGAATACCATAGCTACTAAGTGATGGAATACCGTTGCTTACGAGGACAAAAGGCCTGATAGGGAGAAGAATGTGAAATCGCTTGCTAGCAAGAGGAAGGAATGATTAGCTCAAGCCTATAGTATAGCATTAGGGCACCTCACTCAAGGATTTGACCGATTGAAGCTTGCTTGTTAGAAGCTTTGGAAGTTTACTTGTTTCTTGTTGGATCACTAATAGGGTCACGAACGGTAAGAAGATAAAGAATAGTTCCGATTATTCTGATTCTGCAACTGTAATCAATTATATTCTATTTAGCTTTTAATTCAAGTCTATTGGCAGTTCATTATCTCTTGGCTCTCCGGAATATTCATTCAACATGTTGCCCTAGGTAGAATAGGAAAGGACTCTGTGAACGGATCCCCCTGGAGATGGTGATAAAGTTTCTTTAGCAAGAAAAGGGAAGTGACCTTTACTAAACAAGCAACAGACTGACTACTTACTAAGGATCCGAAGGAGAACAGTAAGCGATGGAATTGATTACTAAGATGAATAGAAAGTCATTAGATACCTTCGCTTACAGAAATATTATTAGTTAAATTGAAATAAAGGAACTATTATTTATCTTCTTACTCAGGAGCTACCTTTTCCCTCTTTTTTTGAGACTGATTACCGAGTCTTCTATTCCTGTAAGGGGGAGTGGAGTGAGTTCATGGAGCGAGGTAGCCCTGCAGGGAACCCGGATAAATTAATCTATAGCTCAAGTGAAGTGACCAAAGAAGAAAGACTAAGAGCAAAAACAGAGATCGAAAACCCAGGACCAAAGTGTTTTCGTGTTATTAGCGTCTAGGCCGAAAAACTCGTGGCTAAGGTCCATGCACACTAGTTCAACGCGCTCACGTAAAACACACGAACTGAACTAGCAAGATTAGGGTTTGGTTTTTAAGACGGCGCAGACTCAAGGAATAAGTTTGCTTCAAAGCTAGAAAGGCTTAATAAGCGCATCTCCAGAACACTGAGCTTACACCTTCTAAATTTTCAGCACATTTTTACGAACATTATTATTTATTATATTTTCATAAGTAGTAAAGATTTACAACTAGGGCTTTTCCCATACCATACATGCAAACATAAAAAAGAAAACCAAACAAAGATAGTTAGCATAGATAAGAGTCTATCTCTAGTAAGCATCCGGAGTAGATCTCAACTAAAAAAGACAAAGAACACCATACATTAAAACACACTACTTTGCGTCTACAGACACTTATTTAAATCTTCTAGAAAGAGTCGACGGACCCTTTATGAAGCTTATGCACACATAGACAAACCAGCCACACAACTAAACACAACATTACGACAAAGTAAACACACAACATATTAAGTTAAAAGAAAAGCAAAAACAAAGGACTTCTTAGTAGTTTCCCCCAGGTCTCCTGCGGATGATGGAGGCCGCCCTGATAAGCAGAAATTCGTGCTCTCGGATGAGAATCCTCCTTCGTTCTTCCAGAGCGCGGATGTGGTCCCGGAGCTCTTGTATCCGCTTTACCAGGACCTCCTCCTCGACAGGAGGCATGTGCTCCCAGAAGGCAGACAGGGTTTGCTCCTGCTGGAGCTTTGCGTTCTCTACATTAAGAATTGCTTGCTCAATTTGAAAAAGCGTTAAAGTGGTAACTGGTGGATCCATATCTATCCCCCCTTGCTTTGCCAAATAGAGAAAGCAGCTTCTATTTATAGACGTGGGAAGCTCTAAGCGAAAAAAAAAGTCTTTCGTTTTTCGCGGGTATCGCCACGTGTCTTAATCCCGAAAAATCTTTCAGGAATATAACTTAATAATATAGAGCACATTAGAGAATAGAGTAACCCCCTTTATAATATAATAAGAGAGTCCCCCTGCGTCCTTTCTTCATAGATGGAGCAATCCTCACTCGACAGCTCGAAAGCGGATCAGTACAAACCCACGTGATCCGTATTCGCTTACGTACCAGGCGTGCTTCGTCGTACCCTGACTACTCCTCTTTCACTGGCTTCTACTTGTCTTTTAATGGCTTATTTGTACCCAGCTTCATGATTGAACTCCCCTCGGCCAATCGTCACTCGACAGCAGCTCCGTCCTAGCGTAGGCTGAAGAAGTAAAGCCTCTGCCTCTATCGCTTGATTGAAAGGATCAGACACTTTCCCTTACTTTTGACAGCAGAACGAATTATATTATTAATATAAGTAAGGTAAACTTTCTTTTTCCGATTGCACTCGGATAGCAGCCTGGGCCGTCCTGGAATGGGAAAAAAATAAATTAGATGGACTGGACTTCAATGGGCTTTGTTTGGAAAGCCAGGAAAAGGTGGCATTTCCAGGCCTTGGCTTAAAATGGATCTGAATTCTAACATTGGGCTAACCTTCACTCCAATAGAATGGGGAAACGAGCAGAAGCATATTTTGTCTGCCTCTGGGCAAATCCGTATTCATCACAGGCTCTGCTGGGACTGGTAAAACCCTATTGCTTGAGGAAATAAATTACTGAAAAAATTACCAATATGTGGTTTTGTCATACAAAAACATCCAATTTGTTTGGACTCGTTAGGTTTGGCCCATTACCTTGAGTGAGGCCGAACGTGTACACCTTTTGTTATGAAGATATGATCTTATCCACTGATGGGTCTTGTTCTAAGCCCAACCCTCTCATATTAGGGTAGGATATCCAGAAACCTTAAATCACGGGAACTTCCCCTTTTTGGTATACAGCCTATGTTGGGCTGACTAAGCCTACTATCCTACCTAATAAGGTCCCATCTTGTGTCGGGTTAAGGGCGCTTAGTGGAACCCTATTTCTTCACTTGTAGTTTAGGGCTTTGCTTGGCATTGGGCTTCGATATAGCTTGCTTTCCTGCCTGGTTTTGGATTAAACCTCTGCTCTCCTAATTCAGTCTATAGGCTTAGAATTTAGCCCAGAAAGAAACCTTTCTTAGCATCCAATTGCTCGACTCGATGGGTACTTCTAGTGGTTTGCCGGAGAAGCTCTTGTATTTCTTTAAGGAGTTGGCTAGTGGCATAGACACCTCTTAACTCTAAATCGAATATTCAAGAGACTAAAAAGATGGGGAATGCACATCTAAAAGGAGAGGAACTTCAATCGCAAAAAAGAAAAAGATAAATGATAGACAGAAAGAGAAGGAATAGCGGGAAAAGCGATTCCAATGCTTAACGAATGGACCAATCCAAGACTTGGAATGCTACCAGAATCGACAGCAGCTCTTACCTTACTAGCACGATACCGAAATGGCCCTTAGCCGACTAAAGGCTACAGGACTACTTCTACACCTACTACCCTCACTCTCAGATAAAGACAGAACGGACAAGAACTACTTTTACATCCTCAAGCTAGAAAGAGGATAGGCTATTGGGGCTTCCTGCGAATTCTGTGGAAGGTAACAAGACTATAGAATATTTGAGGGACCACAAAAAGGGAAAGTCGTTAAACCTTCCTATGTCTCCTGGTTTGTGCCGGCTGGATGAAATCCTATACCTGATAGCCATCCCGATAGTGACTTGATCTAATAAAGGGATCTTTAGTTGAATCATTTCCCCTCGGATGAGGTCTCGCTTATTTGATCTGATTTCCAGCTTCGCCACCCTCCCACCTATCTCTTCCCCATCCAGAAGGAGTTTCACCCAGAATGGCAAATTCCAGAAAGAGAAATGAGGAAAGTCTTGTTCTTTTACACGGTATGAACTAGAACATAGTTTGAAAGCCAATATCCCTTCCACAATCCAGCAGAGGTATCCCCGCATGAAGTACTACTATCCTCCCGGATCAAGGCTTGGCTTTCTCTATTCCGCACTGAGGAAGCTGTGAAAGATTGACTTGAGGCTGGAAAACAGGCTATCGCTCATCCGCAGCTACTAGTCAGGGGAGCTGTAGCATTAGCGGTTACTAGTGTCTTAATAGAAGAGAGCGTATATGAATCTGAAATCTCCTCTTATAGAGGCTATAGGGATTTATCTGGGTACTGACTTGAGCAATGGGTCAGCTTATTCTCTAGTTTCAAGATCAAGAGTGTTACGCAAATAAAGAAGGGATATACACTTGGGTACGAGACCAACTAAATTGATAGGCAATAAAGCTCGGTCTGAGTCTGATTCTTCTGAGTGAAGAACTCCCTTTCTTAACTATTGAAATTGCGTTAAGTAAGAGAAGCGGGCATAAAGTAGTAGTTAGAGTAGGAGTTCATAGTTGGAGATGCAAGTTTTTGTAAGATGTCAATTTAAGTAGATTAAGTAGCAAGGGCATCTTCTTAAAGCAGAGGTGCAGAGATACTCGAATAAGCAATCGTTTCCCTCTTTCATCACAGTCTTGTAGGAGAACTCGACCAAAGGTGAATTCCTTCCCTACCCTATTTTATAGGTGTGTTGACAAAGGAAGGGTGTAACCCAACAAGGAAGGGGCACATTGCCACTCTTACAATTATGGAAAGCTAGGTTAGCGTCCTCCCTTCTTCTTCTTTGTTTCCCTAATTTCATACCAGTCTCAGAAGGAAAAGTGAGTTCCAAGAATTACCTTCTATGCAAAAGACGATTTCCTCCTTCACTAGTAGAGTACTGGTACTCTATTTGACTTTGATTACTAGGCCATATCCCTACCCTAGTTCAAGGACTAAGTGATTTGCATATCTACCTTTAGCACCTAAGCGAGTGCTAATACAAACCTTACGGATGAAATAGCATCGGAGTCGAGAACAACGCATATTCCAACAAGACCATCAACTGTGGGTAGGCTTCAAGCTCCTACTCATAGCCGCTCTTAGTACTAATTACAAGATAGGACGCTCTTGGTATTTGTTGGTGAATGCCTATCTGGCTGGTGTTCAAGTCTCCGGTCCTTGTCCTTCTATTAGTGGTGGTATCCTAATATTCCGGTTTAGAAATGAGATATTTCTGTAACTATAAATTTCATAAGAGAAGAAAGATGCTAGCAGAGGAGAAGTTCCAGACGAAAGTGGATTGATGTAGTTGCGTGTAGTTAACTTTTTTCTTCGAGATTGGCTTGGTGTGCAGTGTACCGAATGGATTAGAGTAGTACAAGATCGTACCTCGAGGAGAGGGTAGCTGAAAGAGCGCTTCTCCGAAAGACACGGTTCGCAAGGTCAAAGTTCAAATCCCAGAGCCCCTTTTGTTGCGGTATTCCCCCTGACCTCGAGGTCAAATGAAAGAAAGAAAAGAAGAATCATCATGGAATTCAATGTCAGAGCTTCTAACATAGTGGTTAGAATTTCACTAGTCTTGCGCCTTATCGCTATAAGTTGTTGCCTCTCTCATATAATAGGTAGTTTTGAGCTTTATCAAGCAATGTTAGGTAAGATGGGTTATCTATAGGGGCTCGAGCCCTTTCTGTTTTTTTTCTAAAGATGGGTTGTTCCGGCGGTCTGGCCTTGGCCATTGTCATAGTTGTAAGAATGGACTTCCTCGCTACCGAGGACACGACTTTAATGACCAAAAATATGATGGATAACAACTCTGGTTGGACATCTTTATTCAGAACCAGCTCTGGCGGAAACTCGGTGAGCTCTTCCGAGCCGAGCATAAATCAACCAGCGCCCCACTCCCCAGAGCATGTTGCTCCTGAGGTTGATCGAGGTAGGCCCCTCATTCCTGAGGATGAGAATGACAACCACTTGATGCCTGCTTAAGCGCGTATGGAAGAGTTGGCCCATCACCTCTCAATCAATTCCATTCATAAAAACTTGAGTCGCGAGGAATGGGGAAGAATTATTACAGCACATATTGTGGTGGAGGAAAGCATCGAAGCCGCTTTAGTTGAGGATGGCTATCCAACCGCTGCTATTTTGGCCAAATGTCACCAGATACGGGGCTTTATGTTTTATCCAGGAGGGACTTCTTTGACCGAGAAAACATATGTAGGCTATGTGAGAAGTATCGACAACTTGGGTACTCACGCCTCTGTTCCATACAAGCGTGTCATCTAAGCGATACGGAAACATAATTTATCCCTTTAAGGGGCCCTTATACTACTAACGGCCGCACTGTTCCGCTTTCTTATTTTGTTCCATTCTATAAAAACAGAGGTAGACAGAACTACTAGGGCTTGATTCCGTTACTTAAGTGAAACCGGATATGTAGGCAAGTACAATACTATACTCAGTTGTAACCCAGCCCCACAGGTGTGTAAGCATGAAGTGAAGATGAAGTAAGCATGTCCGTAAAGACTACTCGCTCGCGGTAGACTTTTCTAGCTTGATTGCTGGCTCTAAGCCTACCTCCTTGCTACACGATTAGTCAAGCTAAAAAATATGAATTCTCCGAAAGGGACCTATCTTAGTTTAATAATGTCCATTGATCGAAAAAATGCAGGACATAAGAGTAACGTGTGTTCCAGAGTGTCAACTTAACAATTATAATACAAAAGGGTGGAACGTTGATACCCCTAAAGTATAGAGAGTGCGGTGAAGCTTTGGTAGAAAGGTAAGATAAAGCCGCTTCCTAAGTCACTCAGGTATGGCTTTGGTTAAGTAAATTGACTCCATCTTCATCAATAGCCAACGGTAGGCATAACCTGCGTGATTAAAGTCTTTCGTGCATCACCTCAGTGATGCTCTTCACAAGATCTTTTTTTAAAGTTACTAGAACTATTTCCTTATATTATTAAAGGGTCTCGTTCTGCCGTTTTTCAAGGTGTAAAAAGTCTTATCTAGCTAGATCCTAAGATCTCGATCCACGACTTAGTAATCCGCAGACACTTCATACGAAGCCTCATCCTGCTGAATCAGGAGAATCCACTGATCCAGGTAGGTGAGGGAACTCAAAAGACCGGTTTACTAAGCTTTTTCAGCAGGACAAAAAAGTGGAATCGACTTCTATTTATGCCTTTTTTTCTTGCATCGTTCAGAGCGCCAGCCAAATGCATGACCCAATGGTGGTCTTCTTCTCCCTCAGTGATGTACATCATGTGCTCATCTATCATGGAATTCTTCTAGAATAAAACCACGAATCACCAGAACAGAGATGGAAGAGTTCTGTTCCCGACGATTCCAATCTTTAAGAATCTTCTGTCGAACTGAGATCCAGTGAGATTGACAACAGAGAAACCTTTTCTAGGTAGGATTATTTTGAATGAATAAAGAAGAAAAGTTCTCACATATATCAAAAGGCGTTAAATGCTGCTTTGAAGGTCGATGGGGACTTTCCCACAGCTCGTTCTCGGATTTACCCTTGTTCGGAAAAATCAGCCATAGTCTCAGAGCTGAGATAATGGACTGCTTTCCTCTGAGACTATGTGGTATCAGAGAGATTCGAGATCAATCAGAGGTGTGCCTATGAGTGTGGGAGACTCGTTAAAAGAAACTCTTAAAGATGCTTACTCTGTCAGTGTCAGACTGACGAGTTGGCCGTAGAGGATGCGGCCTGTCAGGAAGATCAGCTTTGGTGCCTATTATCAAAATCAAAATCAAACTTCCCTCGGGCAGCTATCTTTCTTAGTGCTACCCTATGGTCCACCACGTGATGAATCATGAGGGCGAGTTACCAGCGACCGTATGGTTTGTGGTACTCCGTGGATATGTTTGGAATTGGGACCTGCAAGAGGATCCCTGGGGTTATGAGCCACTCCCGACACCTCCATTAGGAATAAGAGGTCTTACAACAGCGGTAGCATATGTCAGAGGTTTGGAAGAAAGTATGAACGGGCTTTTCCCCCTATCGGGGAACCTTCTCATCCCGATTCTACCTTTGGAGCTATCTGAAAATGTCATTTTCAAGTTTAGTTTTCTTACGGATTCGGCTCGCTACCTATAGAGCTTGGTGTCTTGATAGAGCAGCATCGTTACAAGATTGTTTTATATAAGGGGAATTGGCTTGAAGAGAAAGAAAGGAAGCCGACTCGTAAACTTGTCTCTATAATATAAAAGGGCAAAGAAGAAGAGGGAAAAAGTGTAATGGGGACAATCTAAGGAAGAAATTAGAGCTCTGGAAGATAAAGAAAGAATGAAAGGAAAATGGAGTACTTGCCTTGGTTGTCAGAAGGAAAGTCCTGTCCAGTCTTGAACTAATCAACTACTCTACTCAACTCAGCAAGCAAAATACAAAGAAATCAAGTAAACAAACCCTATAGTAAATACAATACATTCCAAAAAGGCTAAAGCCCTCTAACCGAGAAGTCAGTGCTGAAGTATTTAAGTTCCAACCGAAGTAAGAAGACCTCGAGGCGGGGAAGAGGAGTGAAAGCCACTCTCCCTACTCATACAAATCAAGGAGAGGAGCGATGTAATTGAGCTCTTATTTATATATAAATATCAGCTTAACCGGGCAAATGCAGAATCATCATAGGTAAGAAGCACAACACCATGTTCCCTCTTTCCTGTCGCAACTAGTCCCGTGAGCTAGGTCCACGGTTTCTACTTCTCTCGTCTCTGGAAAAGGAAAAAAAACGATTCTATATGGTCAGTCACTTCGGGCTACTTTTTGGGGAGATAGCATGGGGCTTATGAATGGAAGGAAATCCCCTCTCCAGTTTGCGAAATTGTGGCACCGTAGTAGAATCATTACCAATGGCACGCTGTGCGCCTAAGTACGAAAAGACAGTGCAAGCTTTGTTATGCCGAAACCTAAATGTTAAGTCAGCAATACTTCCAAATGCCACTTCTTCCCGTCGTATCCGTCTTCAGGACGATCTAGGCACAAAGTTTCACTTATTAGTTAGGAGGAGATTTATCCCCCAGTGTATCTCGAAAGCAGAAAAAATAGAAATCATTCGAGAGAGCTTGGTGGTCTTAAGAATG